AGAAACTTAAATCTTATCAAAACTCTAGACTATCTATATATAATACCAATAAACTTTTGACAAATATTAGAAAATTAGAATTAAAAAGTACTTACAAAATTGCTAGTCTAGACATCATAGATATGTATCCCTCAACGATATGGGAAATTATAGAAAGTAAACTGAAACAAATTAATGCAGAACCAGATATCATTGATCTAATTGAATTCTCTTATAGAAGTAATTACCTTGAAAACGATAAAAATATTACACACAAAATGAAGGGATAAGTATGGGATGCATTATAGGACCTAAATTGGCAGAAATTGTAATGATTGATACAGATCAGTGTTTCTCAACAAGGGTGATATCGCCCCCATGTGGGCGTTTTTCCATGTTGAGGGGGCGATTAGTAACAATTTATATTTTGGAGGATGAAAAACAATTTTCTGGGTAATATAGTAAAACATTATATTAAGAATAATTAGATATTTTATTCATTATATCGTACAATAATTAAACAAACAACATTATACTAGTCACTAGTCTATTTAATGCAGTACGAATTTGGCGTTAGCCTTGGCCCTCGGCATCAAAATTTTATAGTTAAGGGGGCGACAATTCGTTAGAGGTTGAGAAACACTGATATAGATGAAACGATAAATGAAATAGAAGGCATTAAATTTTACAGACAATATGTTAACGATAATCTAATTATATACAACAACCCAGAGATCACAATTAAACATATTAAAGATAAAATAAATAATATACATAAGAAAATTCAGTTCAGAATTGAAGAAAAAAATATTACTGATAACAGCATCAATTACTTACATGTAACAATTAAAAGAAACAATAATAGTACAATCTTCACACCTTTCAAAAAACAATGTTCTATAAATAAAACTATTCACTATACTTCTAACATACCTATATAACCAGACAAATACAACACCACCGAAGTCGTCTATAAAATACCTTGCACATGTGAACTGCCAAAAGTATACATTGGAGAAACAAAACGAAAATTAGAAACAAGATTAAAAGAACACATCGCAGACCTGAAGTATAATAAAATCAACTCTGTTTTTTACGAACATTGCACGACCCACAACTGCAAAATAGATAAGAATGATACAATAATAGTACACAAAGAAAAAAATTGGTACAAAAGAAAATTCAAGGAAAGCTACAAAATTACTATAGACAAAAATAATATTAACAAGCACCTAAGCATTGACATTCATAAAAGCTGGCTACAACTATTAAAATAGAATGTTTATACAGTCGCAGGTGAGGCTGTGTGCAGCATTCGGGGAAGTGACACGTTACAAGTTACGAGGCATGCGAGGGAGGCCGTCAAGTCGGGAGAATAGGGGAGGGGAGTGGGAAGTATAGAAAGTGCCTGACTGATACTGTATACACAAGTCACAACTATCGATGTAACACACTGAAGAGAGGCGAAAGCCCGAAACACGTTTCTGTATGAATAAAAAGTGGATGATGAAACTATTTGCCAAGTGTCGATAAATGCACCAAGTCGTGACATAGAATTAGAAAAATACCTATATATATTAAAAGGAATACATTAAAATCAAAACTAGAACCAGTAAAACCATTGAAATAAATAAATACATAAGAGAACATAGTATACATTTAATNTTTTTTCATCCAATATAACTTATGTTTTCAAAGATAAGTGTGTATTTTACATATTATGACACGTACAGTTTAAGAACTATAGGCAAATTTCTATCAATCCATAATTTTGCTATTATTTTTTAAGATCATAAATCAGTGAAAAAATATCTTTTTTTTTTCTTAATGTTATTGGATGGATTTTATAATATATGGGAACTACAAATTCTTTTGTTGGATTGTTATGTAGGACTCCTTATCGCTTAACATTAGAAATGCCAAAATGATTTAATGTGTTTGTTAAATACTTAATCTGGGGGTCGATAAGAAGGCAAATATTCTATAAAGGGGTCGACAGGATAAAAAGTTTGGGGACCCCTAATTTATGGCAATATAAACTGTAATACAATGCAAATTGAGAAAGTACAGTAAATACAATTCAGATACTTGGTGTATGGTTTAGCACTAATAGTTATGGAAATAATTTGTAAAAGTAAAAGAAGCTATTGAGGAATGACATGAAAACTGGCTATACTTACTTGAATGCCTTATTATTGTAAATAAGGTAATGTATGCCAAAATAATGTGTATTTTGTACATAAGTCTGAAATCAAAAGATATAGAGAGAATTGAACAGTACACTTTTAATTTTCTATGGCAAAATACATTCGAGCCAATGAGCAATAAAATAACAAAAAACTAATTTAACAATAGAGGGTGGAGACAATGGAACATTAAAAGCCTGAAGTAATTGCTACAATTGTCAAAGATAAAAGTAAAAAAATGATGTCAGATTTTTCATTGTTTAATTATTGGGTTAATTTTTTTTTGTTTACAGCTACAACTTCTTTGAAAAACCACCTTAAAAACAAGCATGCTGAGCAGTACGCTAAGTTAACTGTTACTCCCTTGGCAAGCGGCAGCAAAAATGATGGGTACTCTTATTTCTACCAATTTCAAGATACTGACAGCACCAGGTATGTGAGAAAAGAAATAGTTAACTCTGAAGGAAACAACTGGAAGGAAATTGTTATGAAATATTAATGTCTGAAATCAATAAAATATCATTATTTAATCAGTGAAATGATTGCCTTACACAACAAACCATTATCACTTGTTGAATGAGTTGGCTTTGAAAGGCTTATGGAAAAGGCAGTATCTCAATACAAAATATCTGGTTGCACTTACATGACTGAAAAAATTATTCCTGATATGTATAATAGAATTTGCTCTAAAAGTGAAGCTAGTATTTTATGAGCAACAGCAATATCAGTGACATCTGATATGTGGACATGTCAGCACGATAACCAGTTTCTTGAGCTTCACTGCACATTGGATATCTTCAGAATTTATTCTTGAACATGGTGTTTTAGCGATAAAGCCATTTTCTGGCTAACATACTGATACCAATATCACAGAAGAATTCAATGCTATTGCAGACAGATGGAATATTCCTCATAGCAAGCTCCATTTACTTGTCCATGACAGGGAGCCAATATGATATGAGACACAGAATATGATTCTGCCAATTGTTTTATTCATTCACTGCAATGAATAAAACAAGGACTGTCAAGGACTCGCAGAAGACTCAAACAAAAACAATACAGATGGTAGTTGCTGCGAGAAGAATTGCTACCCATTTTAACCACTCTCGTATAGCACAAGAAAAGCTGAAATGCATTCGCCAAGAACTTAACTTGCCAACCCACCAAATAGTACAAGATGTAAACACACACTGGAATTCACAAATTATTTAATGGAGCAATTATTAGAATAGAAGCAAGCTATTTCTTTGTACATAACTGATCATAAGTGTTTAAACCTTCTCAGTGGGAGCTAAGGAAACAATGTATCAAACTCCTCAAACTGTTCGAAGAGATTACTAAAATATCCAGCTCAGGTATTTCCTGCATCTCTGAACTGATTCCACAGGTTGTCACATTGTTGAAATACCTGGGGAAAGAAGAGACTGCAGATAAAACACCAAATTTATTAAAAATGAGATCTTCACTACAAATTGAGCTTGAAACACGATTCATCTTTGACGAGAATGACAAATATCTGATTGCCACTTCTCTTGACCCACGTTTCAAAACCAGTTTCCTGGAATTAGTTCAAACTCAAAGAGCAAAACAAAAAATTCTTTTAGAAGCTCTGAAAATTAGTTGTGATATATCTTCTAGTGCCAATGATGATTCTTCTCCACTTTGTAAGAAAAGAAATATCAATAACAATAATAAAACTATTTAAATACACGACAGCTTCTGGAACTATTTTGAGCAAGTCGCTACAGAGAATATGCAAAATGATGACAATGTGGAGAAGAAAAGTGCTATTACAAATGAGATTAATTTTCATATGAAAACTGTTCACCTAGATCAGGTGGCATACCTTTACCACTGGTGGTCAGCAAACGCAAAACAGTATCCAAGCTTGATAGGTTGGTTGGTTGCAGTTTTTTGGTGCAAGGGCCATGCCAAATAGTTAATTTGCCCCAGTCAACATATCTATATTATATAAAATAAGAATAAAAAACAACAACAATTATATACATAATACAGTGGAACCCCAGTTAACAAACGTCCTGGTTAACGACCAAATCAGTTAAAAAACTTTTATTTTGAAAAATTTTCTCTCTGATAATGAACTTAACAGCTTTTTGTGTCAAATTTGTAAGCTTGTTTTCATAAAACTTTCTGAACCACTTATGGCACGTGGAATCATCAATGGCTCCCTCACCATACACAGAACATATCTTCTTCTGTGTCAGCAAAGCATTCTTGCCTTTTTAAAAATAAGAAAGCATAATATATCAAAAATTCTCCTTATTTTCTGCCATTTGTAATGCTTAACAAAATTTTAAAAACACAACTAAGTAACACAACTTTATTCTCAAATACCAGCTGATATCCCTTTTGTCAAACAACATCGTAATTTTACACATGTGAAAAAAATAACACTTCAGTGTTGCATTTATAGCCAACTAGTGCTAAAAACAGGACGAACTTTTGCATCAACCCAATAGTTTCCAGCCATTCTGAAACCTCACAAATTTCAGTTGCTCTTAGGCATGTGTGAGGTAAGCGTTGCTTTTTCAAGTGTGCTAAACTTCGTTTTTAGTTTTGTTATTTATACTGTATATTTAATCAATATGGCACCGAAGAAAGAGAAAAGTGACAGTGCAAATAGAAAAGGTTTTAGTGTAGTATTAGTTACATTAGGGTTTATTGGCGCAAGGGCCACATAGACCAAGCTGCGTCATGTCATATGGTATAATAATATAATCTAATAACTATAAATTAATATAAAATGTAAAATATTAAATAAATAAATAAAATAATAAATAATAATACCAATAACAAAAATATATAACAGTACACATGTATATAATAACAACATATAAAATAAATAAATAGATAAATAAATAATCAAATTTGTTTATAATAATTAGTGACTTTCAGAAAGTTCAACAATTTATCAAAATTTGACCTCTGGCCCAGAATCTCTTTAAAACTTGCATTTCCAAAATGCTGTCTACATATCTTTTCAGAGACAATGCAGTTGCAAAGTATGTGTTTAACACTTACAGTACAGTTACAATATTGGCATAATGGTTGGTCTTCACCCTTCAAAAGGTACTGATGAGTCAACCGAATATCCCCAATTCTCAAACGAGTAAGAATTACTTCAGATCTCCTGTCATACTGTTTATTACGTGTCCAATTTTCTATATTCGGCTTGATCTCGTGTAGTTTATTGTGGATTTGTGCATTCCACATGTTTTGCCATCTCTCTGCTGGGCGTTTTTTAACTACTAACTTCAAATCACCTCCTTCGATAGGCATTTCATGCTGTGAAGGATTAGCTGCCTTTGCAGCTGAGTCAGCTTCTTCGTTCCCTCTTATGCCGACGTGTCCTGGTACCCAACAAAATTTTATAGAAAGATTCCTCGTAAGAATGTGGTAAATCAGATCATGAATTTTAATCACTATAGAGTGAGAACTAGGTTCGCACGAGATCAAAGCCTGAAGTGCACTAACTGAGTCAGTGTAAATCACACAGCAACAATGACCTTTCTTATTTATATATTTTAAGGCTAAATAAATAGCATGCAACTCTGCAAATAAGATAAAAGAATTCAATGCAATTTGTTCTGCCACGATTTCATCCTGGCAGACAAAGGCTGAGCCAACATAATCATCAGATTTAGATCCATCTGTATAAACAGGAATTAAATTCCTGTCACGATGTTGAATTTCTGCAAAGTGCTGTCTGTAGACATAGTCTGGCGTGGATTAATTAGGAAATTGCTTTAAGCTAAGGTCAACACTTATCAAAGGAGTTGGACCAAGGTGATATACTACAGACCTCTACCTGTGAAATGTTGCCTGTGTTCAGATCAATCGTGCTGCTCACATTCTCCATTCTTTTAGCAAATGTGGGGACACTATTTGGACGAGCTTCAAATAACCTTTTCAGCTGAGCATCTAATACAGTACAATCAACTGAAGGTTTAGTAAAAGATTTTTGTTTTATATAATAAAAAAGAGACAACTGTTCTCTCCTGAGAGACAGTGGAGGCTCATAAGCATCCACATACAACCTTTGGACCGGAGAAGTTCGAAATGCACCAGTGCACAAACGCAATGCTTGATGGTGGATAGGATCCAGCATCCGAAGAGTAGATTCTCGCGCAGAGCCATAAACAATGCATCCGTAATCCAACTTTGAGCGGACAAGGGCCCTATAAACCCTGAGCATGGAACATTTGTCTGCTCCCCAGGATGAGTAGCTCAGTACCTTTAAAAGGTTCAGAGATTTTAGACATCTACTTTTCAAATTGCGCAAGTGTGGTAAAAACGTCAGTTTAGGGTCAAATAAAACTATCAAGTACTTTGCCTCATTGACCATTGGGATTTTAACCCCATTTAAGTAAATTTCCGGATCCAGGTGCAAACCACGCCTTCAGCAAAAGTGGATGCACGAGGTCTTTTCTGTATTAAAACTAAAACCATTGGTCTTGGACCAATCATATATGCGATTTAGGGAAGTTTGCAGTTGTCTCTCAATGAAACTCATATTACTAGACTGACAGGAGATCTAAAAGTCATCCACATACAAAGAGTGTTTCACACTGGGAGGAAGACAGTTAGCTATGCTGTTAATTTTAATTAGGAACAGAGTCACACTCAAAATAGAACCTTGAGGAACATCTTCTTGTGTGAAAGGCCTAGATAAAGTGTTGCCCATCCTGACTTGGAATCTTCAATTCTGCAGGAAGTTTTTTTTTATAAAAGTTGGCAAATTACCACGCAATCCAAATTTGTGCAAATCACAAAGTATTCCATATCACCAGCAGCGATCGTAAGCCTTCTCTATATCAAAAAATACAGACACTAAGTGCTATCGTCGAACAAATGCTTCGCGTATAGATGTTTCAAGGTTTACTAAATTGTCCGTGGTACTTCTGTTCCTACGAAATCCACTCTGGTGTGGTGAAAAGTAGTTCTTTTCCTCTAGGAGGAACATCAGGCGTCTGTTTACCATCCTCTCAAAGAGTTTACAAAGACAACTTGTCAGAGAGATTGGTCTGTAATTAGAGGGATTCTTGCAATCTTTACCTGGCTTCAAAATAGGAATAATGATAGATAGCCTCCAAGAGTCGGGAAAAGTATGTTCTGTCTATATTCTGTTAAATAGATTCAGAAGATTAGAAAGGGAATTATTTGACAGATTTTTAATCATGCTATAGTGGATTTTATCCGGGCCTACAGCAGTATTCCTTGAGCAAGAGATTGCTGTATGTAGTTCTATGCTGGTAAATGGCACATTATATTCCTCATTAAATGAAAAATGAAAATTTAAATTTTTTTTTCCTCTTTGTGCTTTGTAAGCTTGAAAATTCCTTGGATACATAATATTGCTGGATGAAGCAGAAAATGTTTCACCCAACAAATCAGCAATACCCTGTATATCGCTGATTATTGTACCGTTATTTTCCAGCATAGACAGAGAGTAGGAAGCATACTTCCCATTGATTTTATGGATTTTATCCCAGACTGCTTTTGAGCTAGTGGATGATGTTATGCTAGAAACATACTTCCTCCAAGAATCCCTTTGGCTTTGCCGCCTCATTCTTCTGGCATTTGCTTTTGCTTTTTGAAAAGCTATCAAATTGTTAGTACTGGGGTACTTTCTAAAAATTCCCCATGCTTTCTTTTGTGACCGCCTTCATCAGGTGAGGTCAGGTGATCATTTGCGCAATGTGTCGAGGGAAGCGTCAGTATATAAAGCTGTTTGCTGAGGTGCTGAACTAATGAAATCAATATGCCGAAGGCGATCTCTAAAGATATACGCGCTTTAATAGTGAAACACCACGATGAAGGCGCCACCCAAAAGGAAATTGCAGAAATGTTTTCCATATCAACTTTAACTGTGGCGAGAGTCATCCGGCTACGGCAGGAAACGGGATCATTGTCGCCGAGAAAGGCGCTGGGCTGAGCCCGCAAGACTACGGCCGACCAGGACGCTCGCCTCGCTGCTGCCTCAGAGGCGAGCCCTTTCAAAACGGCAACTACTCTCAGGAGGGAGCACAATCTAGACGTGTCGGCATCCACTGTTAAACGAAGGTATGTAACATTTGTAATATAATACTGACACTTCCAGCGAAAAATATTTCGATGGAAATGTGAATATTACAGAAATACAACTGTGTTAACGTGTTCTTGCGTATACAGAAATGTAGGAAACAGGATAATATATATATTTGTTTTAATAATAGGTTAAAAGAACGCAACCTTCATGGCCGCAGAGTGGCTAAGAAACAGATATTAACCGAAAGCAATAAGGTTGATAGGCTGGAATTTGCCCAGACCTATGCCAACTGGACAGTGGATGACTGGGCAAACGTCGTCTTTTCCGATGAAACTACATTCTCCTCCGAGAATAGCGGGACCATTTGGGTGCGCCGACCACCATCAACGCATTTTGACGCGAAATACGTGTGGCACACCCAACGAAGCGGTCGCTTCTCAGTAGGTGAGTTTTTACATTTCGTATGGTCGTCCATGTGTTATAGATCACAACTTGATTTGACATTTTCTGTTTGCAGCTATGTGGGGCTGGATGAGTTTAGCGAGACCCGGGGAGTTGGTCAGAATTGACGGCCACCTTGACACAACCCAATACCTCCATATATTGGAAGATGTGCTATTGCCAACAGTGAATGCAGTGTTCGGGAACACGCCAAGGTAATTTGTGCAAGACCGCTCCCCGGTCCACACATCCCGAAGAACGCAGGAATGGCTGCAGGAGCAGAATGTGTTGGTAGACATGAAATGGCTCCCCAGGGAGGCAGACCTCAACCCCATCGAGCATGTATGGGCGAAAATTACGGAAGGGCTCATTCAGGCAGCCACTCCAGACGAACTGTGGAGCATAGTCAGCCGTCGGTGGGAGAAACTGTGCAAGGGCATACTTTGCGAAAGTCTTGTCACAAGTATGCCCTCGCGGATGGCTGCGGTCGTCGATAAATGCGGGGACTGGACGAGGTATTGACTCTCTCTCCCCTCCGTCCAACACAGTATATTTTTTTTTGTTATATCTGTGGTAAGAACACCACATTGTTTGCTATTTTTGTAAACACTTAATAAATGTATATAGTCATTTGTAATCTGTGTGTTTCTTATAAGAAGTCATGAAAACGTTGCACAATTAACCGTTATAGTTATTATAACTGTTACTTGGCATTAATGTGCATTACTGGCAGATTGGTCGCTTCNTATCGCCCCCCTGAAAGCCTCCAGTGCCCACAAGGGGGCGTTATCGCCCACTTTGAGAAACGCTGCTCTATACCAAAATCTACATATTAGCAATGAATGAATATCTAACTACAGAGATCACAGTTGAGAAAATTAAAGACAAAATAAATAATATACATAAGAAAATTCAGTTCAGAATTGAAGAAAAAAATATTACTGATAACAGCATCAATTACTTACATGTAACAATTAAAAGAAACAATAATAGTACAATCTTCACACCTTTCAAAAAACAATGTTCTATAAATAAAACTATTCACTATACTTCTAACATACCTATATAACCAGACAAATACAACACCACCGAAGTCGTCTATAAAATACCTTGCACATGTGAACTGCCAAAAGTATACATTGGAGAAACAAAACGAAAATTAGAAACAAGATTAAAAGAACACATCGCAGACCTGAAGTATAATAAAATCAACTCTGTTTTTTACGAACATTGCACGACCCACAACTGCAAAATAGATAAGAATGATGCAATAATAGTACACAAAGAAAAAAATTGGTACAAAAGAAAATTCAAGGAAAGCTACAAAATTACTATAGACAAAAATAATATTAACAAGCACCTAAGCATTGACATTCATAAAAGCTGGCTACAACTATTAAAATAGAATGTTTATACAGTCGCAGGTGAGGCTGTGTGCAGCATTCGGGGAAGTGACACGTTACAAGTTACGAGGCATGCGAGGGAGGCCGTCAAGTCGGGAGAATAGGGGAGGGGAGTGGGAAGTATAGAAAGTGCCTGACTGATACTGTATACACAAGTCACAACTATCGATGTAACACACTGAAGAGAGGCGAAAGCCCGAAACACGTTTCTGTATGAATAAAAAGTGGATGATGAAACTATTTGCCAAGTGTCGATAAATGCACCAAGTCGTGACATAGAATTAGAAAAATACCTATATATATTAAAAGGAATACATTAAAATCAAAACTAGAACCAGTAAAACCATTGAAATAAATAAATACATAAGAGAACATAGTATACATTTAATATAAACTTCCTTTTTAGGAAGTTTATATTAAATGGCTACCCCAACAGAATAATTAATAACTGGGAAAAAAAGCTAAACGATAAGAAATATGAAAGAATAAAAACAAATGACAATATCAGATATATTAATTTTCCCTATATAAGAGGTCTATACAAGGAGATAGATAAAGAATTGAGAAAAATAAATGTAAAATTAGCATCAAATTATGAAAAATTAGTCTAGATTAAGGGCAAAACAACTAACAAGAGTAACTAAACAGGAAAAAAGGTAAAACAAAGAGTGTTGTTTATAAAATTCTATGTACTTGTAGTAATACTAACGTTTATATAGGCGAGACAAAATGAAAATTGGATGTAAGGTTAAAAGAACATATAGCTGACTTAAAACATAATAGAATAAACTCTGTATTTCATGATCACTGTGTATTAAATGATTGTAACATTGACAAGTTAAACGTTTAAATTCTACATAAAGAAAAAAATACATACAATAGAAAATTCAAAGAAAGTTTGAAATCCTTAAAGCCAAACATTGTATTAATAAAAATTTAAGTCTAAATATAAGTGAAAACTGGTGAAATGTTCTATAATTATTTATA